AGGAGGAATCTGCAGATCTCTCTGTAGCTCCTGCTGGGTGGCCTCAGGCAGTGGCTAACTTAGCACCTCCTTGGAGATCCAAGAGCCAGTGTACCCAGTGGTCAATGTGAGACCATACTAGATTACAACTTTTCATAAGAGACACACTCAAGGGGCAGACTCAGTGAGCACCAAAGCCCCACTGAAACAAGTCTTTCCCTATAAGGGTGACTCCAGAACAGAAGTTCTCCCATTGTAGACACAGCTGGTTCTCATAGCCAACTGGCCTGGAGGTCAATTCCTCCCAGTGATACCAACAGCAATCAAGGCTTAACTAAAATAGGACTGTGCACGCAGCCCACAAAGGGGTGCACCAAGAGTGTCCACCTCAGGTGATTGGGGAGGCTGAGCCACTGGGCCCTATAGGACACCTAGCACATAAGGCCACTTTATCAACACAGGGAAGCAGCCAAAATGCAGAGACAACGAAACATGTCACAAATGAAAAAAAAAATGGATGAAAGCAAAATATTGGATATAGAGTTCAAAACCACAGTTATAAGGTTACTCAAGAATCTTCTAGAAACCTCCGAGAAATTTAGTGAGACCCTCAAGGATATGAAAAGGGACCAATTAGAAATTAAGTATACCCTGACTGAAATAAAGAATAACATATAGAGATCCAACAGCAGACTAGAGGATCCCAAGAATCAAGGCAAAGATTTGAAATACAAAGAAGAAAAAACAGCCAACCGGAAAAGAAAAAAGAATCCAAAAATATGAAGATAGTGTAAGGAGCCTCTGGGACAACTTCAAGTGGACCAACATCTGAATTATGGGGGTGCCAGAAGAAGAGAGAGAGCAAGATATTAAAAACCTATTTGAAGAAATAATGACAGAAACCTTCCCTATCTGGTGAAAGAAATAGACTTACAAGTCCAGGAAGCAAAGAGAACCCCAAACAAGAGGAATCCAAAGAGGACCACACCAAGACACATCATAATTAAAATACCAAGGGCAAAAGACAGAGAGAATCTTAAAAACAGCAAGAGAAAGAAACTCAGTTACCTACAAGGGAATACACATACGACTGTCAGCTGGTTTCTCAACAGAAACGATGCAGGCCAGAAGGGAGTGGCAAGAAATATTCAAAGTGATGAATAGCAAGAACCTACAATCAAGATTACTCTACCCAGCAAAGCTATCATTTAGAATTGAAGGTCAGATAAAGAGCTTCACAGGCAAGAAAAGCTAAAGGAGTTCATCACCACCAAACCAGTATTATATGAAATGCTAAAAGGTGTTCTTTAAGAAGAGGAAGAAGAAGAAAAAGGTAAAGATAAGAATTATGAACAACAAAGTGACAACAAATACGTATCTATCAACAAGTGAATCTAAAAATCAAGTGAATAAAAAATCTGATGAACGGAATAAACTAGTGAATATAATAGAATCAGGGGCATAGGAAGGGAGTAGACTGACAATTCTCAGGGGGAAGGGTATGAGGAGTGTAGGAAGAGACTGGACAAAAATCTTACACCTATGGACGAGGACAGTGGGGGGGGGTGGGGAGTACGGGCATGGGGTTGGGTGGGAACCAGGTGGAGGGGAGCAATGGGGGGGGGGGAGAGGAACATCTGTAATAATCTGAACAATAAAGATTTATTTTAAAAAAAAGAACCCAAAAGAGTTACAAAGAAAAAAAAAAGAAATTATAAGGCAGTTATGCCATAAAAAATTACAAGTAGGTATTAGAAATATTTTTTCAGTGTGATTCTTATTAGAAATCTGTGGGAATAAAGGATAGGTGCTGATAAAGATCAAATATCTAAAAGTACCAACTGCATCAGAAGCACTTGAAGTAACGAGGACATATATTTGCATTCTGTATTAACTATAGGCATGTTAAGGTTTTAGACCTTTTAGTTCTCATGTACTTTTGGCTAACAGTAGCAGTAGGTATTATTATTGTGTAGTCCCATATTGCCACATGGCAGAACAGCTTTTTATTTTGTAGTTAATATTTTATCAATATAAATTTTCAACAAATGAATGCAGAGAAGTTTATTTAACAGGAAATAATTCTGTGGCTTAATCCTTACACAAAAGAGAAAACCACAGACCAGATCAACTCCTATGATCTCAGAATTCTATTACATAATCCAGCAATTTCCAACCTTTTTCATCTCATGGGACACATGAACTAATTACTAAAATTCTGGGGCACACCAAAAAATATATTTTTTGCCAATTGCACCAAAATAGGTATAATTTTCATTGATTTACCAAAAAAAAGTAATTATCTTTTTTGCTCCAAAGTGACTTTTAAAAAAAATCATGTGCCTATACTTTTATATAAGGATTTCTGGTACCAAAAATTAACCAATCAGATGCAACCTTATTATGCAACATGACCAATAAGATGCAACTCTATTATATGACCTATATATTTATGGTTCAAAACAGGGCATTTACACCAAAGGGCTATTGTGTTGGCTGTGGTCATTTTTCCATTTGATAATCTAAGGGAAAAGAGCTTAGTGCCCCTCAATAAATAGTCAAGTATTGCATGTTTTATAAAATCTTGTGGCAAACCTGTTGAAAATCGCTGACATAAAGCGGCCAACCCAGAGGAAGGTCATAAAAGAAAAGTTTTTCTATAATTTTATTTTCAAAATATTTTAATAATCAAATACCAACACTGAATTATTTAGTATTTATTTTAGGGAATGTACACAATTGTCCTACAGCTTAAAGATCATGTAACCTCAGATACACGAAGCTGTATATCATAAAATAAATTGTATGAATGAACATATCTACGTTCTGCCCACACAATCCCGTGAGTATCACTGAGACTCTAAAAAACTGGTGAATAAAGAAAACCTTTTCTAAAATTCAGGACAAATGTAATTGCTGGAATTGAGAGAGAGGAAAAGTAGGCTAGAAAAAAAAGAGATGTTTTCCATTTTATGGATTTTTCTCTTGGGCATAATTAGAATAAAGTGACATTCAAGTGCAACCAATGAAGTTTCTATTTTTTTCTCACAAAATTCAAAGACATCAGCAAAACCACCTATGTCAGTAATAAAAATAAAAAGTCTTTGACTTTTTAAATGTTATCATGCTGTCACAGTGGAATAAAATTAGCTTGAAAAATGATCTAAAGGCACACGCTGCAGTTCATTACATGTAGCAGCAACAGCAGCGGTTTCCCAGTGTTCATAAAGGCTGCTCAATTAAATTTACCTCAGTCAATAATTAGGAGTCCACAAATAAACCTGGGCAATTAAATCAATACTGCCAGGCAATTACATTCCAGAGTCCAGGCTCAGTGGCACAAAAAGGCACTATATCAAACTACAGTATTAAGCAGTCCAATGCCATTTTAAAAGGGATTTTTTTTTACACTAACTGGCCAGACTAAGCGTACATCCAGATACATAGAATGTGTGTGTGTGTACATCTCCATGTGTGAGTCAAAAAAACCCAGGCCTGGTGTCAATATAGCTTTTGTAAAATGTAATAAAGATTTATACATATGGATTTTTTTATTTTTACGTTCAAAAATGATGATAAAAATTTCCATACTGAAGGGTCATTTTTACAAGTTGAGCATTAAAAATCATTAAAAAGTTTATTTTTATTATTTTCAGCTGGAAAAAACCCCACACCAGGCCATAAGAATCATTACTGAACTCCTTTGATCTGCCAGGCACTGGGCTGGGTGCTGGTGCTGGGCATGTGATATGATTAACAAATGGTATTTCTTCTCAAAATCAAGTGTCACAGTAGAAAGCTATGTTTAGTACTTGCACACCTGCACTTAAATAACTTTAAGAAAAAGATTGCCAATCACCTTCTTTTACTATTGAATACAGTTTCAAAATATATAAAACTGATAATAAAAATATGAATAGTTCAGATATTCTTTACTTTTCTTGGCTTTTTCTAAAGCACAGACAACTCCATTTGTTAATATTAATGTAAAATAAGTTTCATTTAATATCATCCTTTATTTTTAATCTTCATACAGAAACATTTACGACTTTCCAAAACTCACAGGACAATATTTTTTTATCTATTTTGAGAAATATGTTTTAGCTGCTTTCTATTCCAGTTTATTTTTAAAATAAACAATTAGGTTGAGCAACAACAAAAAAAACTATAATGAAAAAGTTTTAGAATACATTACATGCTGTCAGTGATGTGGAAACAAAAGCTGGCTCTGACTAGAAAAGCAAGGCTCTCACCTGCCAATAAACTGCCCTTGATCACTTACAAGAGGGGCGCCTCCCAGCAGACTATATGTGTATTAAAAAATACTTGAAAGGGAGGAAAAAGTATCACACAGGTCACAGCAGCAGTCTCAATAGACCCCTCCGGGACTTCCACTCGCCTTGGCCTTGTCATCCTCTATGCAGCTTTCCACGCGGCCCAGAAAATGTCGATAGGAAAATGTTTGAGGGGCCTCTGGTGGAAATTTTTTCATTCTTTCTGCATTGACAGGATGCCAAATCAATATTTACTTCCCACTAACAAGCTGCTCGAGGTCTCAGTAGAAAATATTGTAGGGAATGCAGGAAGACACAGTAATAAACAGCTGTCTGGCTGTGAGGAAAACATGAATTGACTGGAAACAGGTCCATAGTAAAAGGTCACTGAAACCCATGAACTCCTCAGGTGTCCATATAACCACTAACTTTAAAGACACATAATAAAAAATCTCTTTTCCTAAGAGGGCTGAGAGAATGGATCCTTTTCAGTCTAGGAAGCATAGAGGTTGACTCAATAATTTAATTAATGCATTTGCTAAGGTACATGTTGGCTGTTTCCCAAGGCATCTACTTCATTTGTTAAGTCCAGGAGTACAAATAGAGTTAACTTCTGGTGTACCTATTAGAATACTTCTATACCTAACAGAAGCAAATAATGCATAAGCAAAAAGTTAGGCACCTGGTAAAAATATAAGGCTTGGAATTCTTATCTAGTTTTCATCTATGAAGTAGAAAATGAAATACCTGTCCTTCAAGAAGTTTCTGAATATACAACAGCCACTCCCTGTCATTTTCAGCATCTATCTTTGTCCTTTTGAGTTCCTAAAGGAGGAAAGTAAAAACACTGGTGTTAACTGTATATAAATGAAGTTGCTCATACTATTAAATATTGAATAAATCTAGAGAGATATCAGTAAAACTGGATTCAACAAAGAGTAGCCTGGTCTTTCAAAAGCAGAGAATATTCAAATCCATGCTCTTTAATATTTAATTTCTAAATATTTACATACATATGGAAGATAAAGCTGTAATTCTATATTGACAATATAAGTCAGGGATTTTTTTTTCTGTTTTCACAGTGGAGCTCAAGGTAGGAGCAGAGGTGGAGGTGAAAGCAATTAAAATAAAATGAATAATAAGATGCAGCTGTATAAAAGAATCATTTATTTACAAGTGACCCTCATAAGATAACATTTAAAAATCTGACTTGTCAATAGATAACTAAAGAGTAATTGTTACAATTACAATCAAAATATAATATGGCATGGCTCTGGTGTAGGCTTGTTTATTTAAAATATCCAATAACTCACTGATAGGCCAGGAACAGACACTCCAACTCTGTACTGCAAGTCACTAAGTATTTTTAACCCATCAATTATCAAGTTAAATATTCCTAAATGTATAATATATTCACATGTGCAGTTGATTATTTACTAAACTCATAATTCATTTTTTTTTTTTTAAAAAATGGACTTTTCAAAAAGGGAAGGGATTTGGAAGCTAGCATTTGTTAAAATTTACTGTATGCCAGGTATCAGGCTAGATACTTCACATAGGTTATCTCAATTTTTTACATGAATTTACTAGGGTTTGATGTATAGCTTAAGGAATGTTAGGTGGTTTGAACTCTGCTTGTTTGGGTAAGTCAGTCAACCCTTCAGACCTCTGAAAGATTCAGGGACCAGTCTAAACAGGCTCTGATCTATAGTTATGTCTAGTAAATACATTGAGATGTACCGATCCTTCTCAGGAACAGTGTGTTTTTACTAGTCCTTTTGCTTTCTGCAGGACTTCCACCCAAGCTTGTGTGAGATGCACACTGCAGTGCTTTGCCCTCTGGCTCCAGACTGCATCTGCCCAGAGACAGGGGAGCCACCTCTTCACAGGAGGGTCATTTATTCTTTGGGACCATAAAGTGATCCTTTTTTATTTGTCCAATCAGAAGGGATGCTTTTTTCTAACTTGTAAGCCCAGAGAGGGCATCTTTTGAGACCACACAAAGGCAGGGGCAGGGGGGTCCTGTCTTCAAAAATATGTATCTGTGTTCACACATGCACACACAAACACACATACACACACTAGGGATTTTGCTAAATCTGCTTGTTTTAAAACCCTTAGGCAAGAGTGGAGGCCTTAAACTTAATTTTTGTTCGCTTTCTCATTATGAATCAACAAATTTTTAATTAAGTCTATAATAAGATATATTTCATAGCCTCGCTACAGATAGCATTATTTCCTGCATGTCTTATATCTGATACTATCCTATATAATAAAGATGTAATATGCAAATGGTCATTACACTGTGAAGTGTAACGACTGACCGCATAATGACCAGATCACGGATCAGCAGGAGGGTGGGGCAGAGAGCTACAAGCAGATAGCAGAGAGCTACAGGAGGGGGCAGGGCAACAGGCTATGAGGGGGGTGGGGGGAGGGGTGGGGGAGCTACAGGAGGGCGGGGTAGCAGGCGGATAGCTACTAAAGGGCGACAGTGAGCTACTGGCAAACTACTGGTGCACGGATTCGTGAGCAGGGTTACTAGTCTCTTATAATGCTCTATACTTCAAAGTTCAATATTCAGTAGAAAGCTATGGACAGTGTGGATAAGTGATGAAAAGAGGAAACTGATAATTCACTTTCCTACTCACCCACAGGATGAAAATAATCTCTGCAGGATTCCTCTGACCACTTTTCTAAGAATTCTTGGCAGACGAATTTCAGAGGGAAGGGGGCAGGGGCAGGGACAGGAGGAGAGTAACCAAAGAACTTATATGCATATATGCATAACTATGGAAAGATAATGATTCAGGAGGGGGCGGGAGCTGGGTGGAGGGGATCAATGGGGGAAAAAAGGAGGACATCTCTATTACCTTTAACAATAAAGATAAATTTTTAAAAAGATAATATGTAAAGCAAATAAATAACTGGCCAGCAAAAAAAAAAAAAAAAATTAGCAGAATACTTGGCACAGATGGCTATTCACTAAATATTAGCTGAACTAAACTGAGGAGCCAGTCCCTCTATTATAACGGGTGGAATGCCACAGAAATGTGTTCATGTTTTATTTAAATTATCTCAAAATTTAAAATAAAATTTTTTGAATATTTAGTAAGCAAAGAAACAAAACACCAGACAAACAAAATATCCTTTGCAAGTTGTAGCTCTTCTCTACTCTAGAAGCCCTTTGAGAAGCTGATGGAGGACTGGAGGATGTTCTTACACAAACATGTCAATCTAACATTTTCTTTATTCACTGAGCAAATATTTATTGGGAAGCTGCTGGTGCTGTCATCTCTTTAATCTTTCCAAACAATGAAAAATTGAATATTAAGGTATTAAATTTCAGAGACTTAACAGTGGAATGGGGCTGAGAATCCTCCACAGGTTTCACAGATAGTATACAGCAAGGGTGGGAACCTTTTTCCTGCAAGAGCCATGTGGGTATTTATAGCATCATTCGTGGGCCATACAAAATTATCCACTTAAAAATTAGCCTGCTATATTTGGTCAAACATTTAATGAACTCACCCCTAATGCTTTGGCAGCACCAGGCCAAAGGATTTCTCAGGCCTTATGGGGCCCACCGGGCTGTACGCTCCCCACCGTTGGTGTACAGGATGGGATTCTGCTGTTTATGAGATAACAACTATGTCAAAAGTACAGTGCCTTTCCCAGAAGGTACAGAGATGCCACTGGAGACCTATACTTACATGCACATAAATTCACTTGGACAGGAATATTTTACCTGATTTAAAGGAATAAACATATTTTTAACTTCGTCAACAAAAATTAAATTTAGCTAAGAAAGCCACTAGATTTATTATTTTTTCCAATCTCACACAGGAGGAAGGAATCCCCAAATCTATGGTGACCCTGCTACACTAAATCCATTCATATTGGCTTAACTAAAAATACTAGCTTACAGGATATATGATTAATTACATTAAAGAAAACAGGAAAGGATAATTGACTGAATAACAAACAAGCAGTTCTAGAGGTTATATGTACTTGCTTTTTCCCATATTACAGTTAAATTTCTCTAAAGGTTTTTGAGTTGGTTAATACTCTTGATGTATCTTTCATTGGTGCATTAATAATCTTACCTTCATAAATATGTGCAAAGGCCCTTTATTAATAAATGTTTAAGTGATCTTACCACTTCATCTTCTGTGTCCAATATTTCCTCTAGATCTGATCGTGAAATGTTGAGGATAGAAGCTGCCAAGGTCTGGGCTTTATGAGTTGAGGTTTTATGAGCATCCTTCTTTCTCTGCATTCTTTTAAGCTCTCTGATTTGTCGCCTTATTGTATGGACATCAACTTGTAACTCTTTGACCAAAGCCTGTAACATATTGGAAAGAATGCAGGCTCATATGGAAGTAATAAATGAAGATAGAGCTCTCATAACATAAAAATGTGAAGATACTAGCAAATCTTTTTTTTTATTAGGATCACTCTGATTTTATTTATTTTGGAACATAATGGATTGTTCTTTATTTATTGTCAGTATGAAGTAAAAGCTCTCTTAAATGACCATTTAACCAACTTGCTGGGTTAACCCAAGCTCCCCAACCCCTCTTTCAGATTCACCAACTGCTCTCCCGGCTGGTGAGCACTGGCAGCAGACAGGCTACTCTCCATGATGCCAGAGCACCACTGCTCCCAAATGAGCCGATGCCAAGAGTCAGTTCTATTTATTTCTGAACGTGGGTATATTAGTTGTAACACTTTAGTTACATAATTCATTTAATTATTATACAAACTGATGAATTATTCCTGCAGAAAGAGTTGTTTCTATTTTATTAAAACTGGATTAAAAATGCTTTGGAAGAACTTGATAAAGACAAGTTGGGTAAAAGTGCAATTAAGTTACGTATGGGCAAAACAATACAGGATTTAAAAAATCATGAAAATTGTGGGATTAATTCACAAGAGTCTTTAAGTTCCCCCTTTGAGAAATAAATGCTAGCTCATGCCATGCCTATGTGTGCATAAGAAAAAGACAGCCCTTAATCTGAGTGAACAAAGACCCGCCTAGCTTTGTGAGTCGAGAGCAGACTAGCTAGAAGTTTGGGATGTTTTCAATTTTTTTGCAAGTTCAAGCAATATTGCAATAAATAATGGTGCTCATATATACATTTTGCAATCCTAGGATATTTCCCTAGAAATGAAATTATTCGATCAAAGGGTATGTATAACTGTAATTTTGAAAGCCATTATTTAATTCTCTATGTTAATACCTCCAAAAAGACTATATGAAAGTATTTCTTTCTCTATACCAGTAGCAAAACACCAACCTGGTATTTCAGTGTAGTTTGTTTTTTTCACTGTATTTTTGTTTCATTTCTCTTATTAAAAACAAAGTTGAGCATCAGCCTTAACAGATAATTATCTTTCTTCGTCACTTTTTCTATTTTTTAGTGATTTATAAGAATTCTTTATATATTAGGAAAACTATACATATTATACATATATCTGTTGTATATATCTACATTTTTTATATTTTGTATTTTTCTTTTGACAGTAATTATAATGTTTTGTGCCAAAGGAAATATTTTTATTTTATTGATTTCAGAAAGGAAGGGAGAGGGAGAGATAGAAACATCAATGATGAGAGAGAATCATTGATAGGCTGTCTCCTGCACTCCCCACAATGGGGATCGAGCTTGCAACCTGGGCATGTGCCCTGACTGGGAATCCAACCATGACCTTCTGGTTCACAGATCGAAGCTCAATTACTGAGACACTCCGGCTAGGCAAATAAAGAATATTTTTAATTTTTTATGGACTCAATGAACCTTACCCGTTTCTTATCTTTGAAATTAGTGTGATACTTTAAAAAGCATTATCCATAATGAGATATAAACACATTTTCTAGCCATGCTTTTTTCTGCTACCTTTAAGATTTTATTTTTCAGTTTTAATACTTTTATCTATTAATAATCATTTAGGAAATTATTACATAAACTTAAACTCAGTAGTCCCACCATCAGCTAGTAAAAGGTCCATCCTTCCCTAACTGATCTCATGTATGTCTAGGCCAGTTTCTGGACTTTCTATTCCATTCCATCTCTCTTTTTATTAGTGAAGCTTTATAATATATTTCAACTAGTGAGGCTTTATAATAAATGTTAACATCTGGTGGGGCTGTCACCCTCATATTACCCTCCTTTTAAATATTATTTTCTTGGTAATTTTTGCATGTTTGGTTTTCCACACAAAATTTGGTTCAGCTTGTCTAAATTATATCCTTCTAAAAATTATTGGTAATTTTATTTGAATCATGTTAAATTTTATTTGGATCATGTTATCATTTTAGGATGTTCATTCTTCCTAATGAAAGACCATGGTATTCTCTTCCAGTTGTTTGTCTTTGTTTCTGAGGATCATTTTTAGTTTTTCTCTTTATAGTTCTAAATTATTTCTAGGCGTTTTACTTTTGGGGGAGGTGCTTCTAATCATGATTATTGTTGCACATATAAAGACTGTTAATATATATTTAGCTTACTGAATTGAAATTTCTAGAAGCTGAGTAATATCAGCAAACATTGATAATATTATCCTATTTCCAAAGTTTGTACCTTGTATTCCTTACTTTTCTTATTGTATCGCTTATTAAGTTCTTCCTGAATAATATTAAATAGTAATATTATTGGCCATACTTGACTTGCTCCTGATTTTAATTGAGTCTGTCTATTTTCTAGGAAATGCTTTTGAGATGAGAGCCTTATTGTAACATATGAAGAAATGTACTTTAATATATTAATATATACTATATCGCTTAATGTAGTTACCTACTCATTTTAATTTCTTATAAAAATTGAATATCAAATTGTCTTAAATCCATTTAGGATCCATATAAACATGCGTTTTTCATCATAAATCTATTAACATGATTATTAATAATTATCTTAGTACTGAATTATCCTTGCATTTCTGGAATAAACTCCACTTGCTGTAATATGTTATATTTTATTGTGCTGCTGAATTTTATTTGATAATATTTTATCTAGTATTTCTACACTAACATGAGATTTATTGGTTTTAATTTTGTGTAATCTTCAAAAAATTTGGAAGGATCTTTCTCTTTCCATCCTCTGTAGTAGTTTTCATGAGACTAAATTTATCTGCTCTTTATTGATGGGGTGCAATTATCTGAATTTGGCTCAGTATCTATAGAACATTTAAGTATTTAGTTTACAAGCTTTGACAATTGTCTGCATCTACGTAGCCACCACCCTAGGCAAGATACAGAACTTCTTCACACTCCAGAAATTTCCCTGGTACCCTTTCCCAGGCAATTCCTTCCCCACAGACAGCAACTGTTCTGATTTACATCATCTTATATTAATTGTGCTTGTTCTAGATAACATATAAATGGAATGATATACTACATACTCTTTTATGTCTGACTTCTTTTTTTTCTGATGTTTTAGAGATTCATTCATATTGTTTTGTGGATCTGTAATTTGTTTTTCTTTTAATTAAATACAATAACTTCAACATATTTATATACATACTAGAGGCCCGGCATAGGAAATTCATGCATGGGGAGGGTCCCTAGGCCTGGGCTGTAATCAGGGCCAATCTTCCCCAGCTGCCAGCATCCAGTCTGGCCCCCCACCATGCTGCTGCCTGTCCACCTGGGTGATCAGGCCCTGTTGCAGCCTGCGTCCACCACCACCCACCCCCGGTTCCCTATTCCCCATTGAGTGATCGGGGCCTGCAGGCTGGGGGCAGCTCCTGCATTGAGTGTCTGCTCCCTGGTGGTCAGTGCACGTCATAGCCAACTGGTCATTCTGCCATCTGGTCAATTTGCATATTATGCTTTTATATATATATATGATATATGAAGCCAGCAATATATTTTTTTTTGAGATAATTCTATTTTCTCTTAGTTCTTTGTCTGCTAAATTGCTTTCATCTGTTTCTATGTCTCACCATCTTTAACCTAAATTCTGAATTTATTTTCACCTTAAACATGTACTTTTAAAAAATATATATTTTATTGATTTTTTACAGAGAGGAAGGGAAAGAGATAGAGAGTTAGAAACATCGATGAGAGAGAAACATCGATCAGCTGCCTCCTGCACACCCCCTACAGGGGATGTGCCTGCAACCAAGGTACATGCCCTTGACCAGAATTGAATCTGGGACCCTTCAGTCCGCAGGCCGACACTCTATCCACTGAGCCAAACCAGTTGCAGTAGTTGGCAAACTGCGGCTTGGCAAACCGTGGCTCGCGAGCCACATGTGGCTCTTTGGCCCCTTGAGTGTGGCTCTTCCACAAAATACCGGCTCTTCCACAAAATACTGACTTCTGCGCATGGGCCATAAAGTTTCAATCGCACTATACGTGAGCGCCTGCATGTGGTATTTTGTGGAAAAGCCACGCTCAAGGGGCCAAAGAGCCGCATGTGGCTCGCAAGCCGCGGTTTGCTGACCACGGGTAGGGCAACATGTACTTTTAAGAGGAAATTATTTCATTAATATTTGTAACTTATACTAAGTATGAATATGCTTAATGGCACCCTATCAGTGCTGAAACTTCTTTTCCTGCCATTCACTTTTCCTGTTTATTTTCTCCATTCATACTCTAATACAGGGGTGGTCAATCATTTTGTGAGTGCGTGCCAAAACCAGCAAAATCTCTGACTCAAAATTCTTCTGCGTGCCAACCCTAATTTTTTGAGGACATGTTACGCCTACTTGATATCTCTTAAGGTGTATGTATGTGAAGAACCTTGAAAAAATAATAAAATTCATTCGAGCAACAAAAACAGAGTATATGATGATGAAAAATACATTCATTTATTTTTTAATGTATACATGTACACTGATAGTCCGACAGAAAACTTTATGACTCCGTTTGATATTATCAGTGGGACTTTTGCTGCTGCATCACTGATGACAGAGATTTTACATCAGGTTTATATTTCGTGACCTTCAGAGATATGCACGAGCTACTACTTTCATCCGTCAGGCTACTCCTATTAGGAGACTTAACAAAATTCATCACTGAGAACAAAGATTCACAAGCGTTATGTGGATGAAACCAAAACACTGGTCGGATCTAGGAAGGCAGGGAGAGTTAAGGCAGAGGCATAGAAATGCTCTTCCCCTCTCTCGTCAATCCATTTCTATGGTCTTTAAGATAACTTGTTATGTAAAATTATTTATTCATCTAAGATGCACCTACACTGAATTTATCTGAAAAATAAAAAAGTTGATATTAAGAAAAGAATTGTAAATGGAAGATTCTAAGAGAGGGTTTCGTGTGTCAGCAAAAGTTACTGGTGTGCCATGTTTGGCACGCGTGCCAGGGGTTGCCCACCCCTGCTC